ATACAGTTTCATATTTCTTTAAAAAGTTTAAAGTGCCTGTATCCTTCAAATACAACAAGTCAAAGAAAATATTTTTATGCTGAAGAAAATTGGCATAGTACACACGATTGTACCGATTTTGTCACATAACTGGCATATTTTTTTGGATTTTGGCTCAGCCAAAGTGAAACAGGAAGTGACATCAAAGGGGAACTCATTACTAAAATAAACGTGTTGGTCTTTGTTTATTAAAACAAAATTCTTCAAACTTTAACTCTTCTTTGTCTCTTTGATAGCGACTAAAAATAATCTAAAGGAACATCAGATTCTTCTCTACAGTCTGTTATCAGCTGCTCTGTTTACGAGCCGACATTCCCCTTTGACATCACTTCCTGTTTCTTCACATGCAAATATCTCAACAACTGTTCATCTCAGCGATGTGAAATTTGTTTTGCAACATGTTATTGATGTTATCTTTCCAAAAATGCATTTATGTTTATTACAAAAAATTGATGTCACAGGTACTTTAAAGCTCTGTTATTTTGACATGTCATCGTCCACATCATCAAGCATAAACATTTTACAGCTGCTCATCTTGGTGTTTTGTTTAGCATCTATCGGGATTTGTAAATGTATTTATTTTTCTTGAAATACATTTTTTGTTACATTTTAAATGAAATTGTGTAAAAATAAATAAATAAAATAGAAGTTTTTGTCTGTGCACTCACTCTCTCCCTCTCATTCTAATCAACAGGAATGACAGATGATGAAATCCTTCGATCTGAGATGGTCTCGCAGTTGTGCATGAATGACCGCACACACAGTGCCCTGCTAGACCTTGTATCCTTCAGGGCTTCAAAATTATTTTATAAAAACGCTGTGTTATCTGTAAGCACTTGTTTTCCTTAAGTATATTCTCCTAGATTCCTGAAAATCCCAACCCAAAAAGTGGCATTGTACCGGGAAGTTGTAGTTTTGAAGATGTGCTATCTGCTGTGGCAGATTTTAAAGCTCCTGTGTTTGAGCCGGGAGGCTCCATGCAGCAGGGAATGTACACACCCAAAGGTAAGCTGATCCTGCTGAAGGAAAATGTGCAATAACTGATTTTATCTCTGAAATAGCTAAAACAAAGCAAACTAACTAATTAGCTAAGCTGATGTGGACTTTGATGCTTAAGTGGGGTCACATTAGTTTGGCAGGATGGTCCTACAACTTAGACTACCAAACCTGTACAGATAAAAGCRTTGTTCTGAGTAAAGTAAGACATTTTCAAAGTGTGCTGGGGTTGTTCAGACCAGCATTTAGTGCCATCCTGATGTAATCACATTATCCAAGATGATTGTCAGTGCCAGGCATGGATGAGATCTTAGAGCTGTTAAACATGGGCCATTAAGATTGTGAAGGAGAATACACAAGTATTATGATGTGTACAAAGCTGCATTAATTATGCACTTTGAAAATGACAAACTGGAAAATGGGTTAGAAAGAAAAACATACACATTAATGCCTAACGCTGTGTAATACAATTATTGTTTAAAGCAGAGAATTGAAAATAAAAGCAAATTAAATTGTTTTTAGAAAAAAAAGCATACATTTTCAGCAAGGAGCTTGGAAGTTCTACATTTGATTTCACGAGAACTCAAGTCACCACTTGAGGGCAGACTTGCACCACTGTCATAGAAAAAGTGAAAAGATGGAGAAACAGCGAGTCAAAGTCACTTTGTATCAAAGGTTGCTAAGCATTTTTTCCTCTCTCTCAACTAGCCGAGGTGTGGGAGAAGGAGTTCGACCCCATCATGGTCGTTCTCAGAACGGTCTATCGCCGTGATGTTCAGTCAGCAATGGACAGATACTCAGCCTTGTAAGTTAATAACACTGGCTTCATTTCACTCAAAAAGATTGTTCTTTAGATATGTTTCCTCATTGCATTATATACAGTGTATATTTCTGTTTGTCAGTCTTTGCYCAGTGGTCTTTTTTAAATTTATGTACCTATAAGATCAGCTCAAATAAAGCCTTGTTCAGGTTCATAAGGTCACCTCTTTCACCTGTTCATGGAGGACATAATAAGAGAGGTCATGTGAAGTAATGGCTGTAACCACTGGGATTGGTTCGAATTAAAAACATTGAACCAAACCAAAATCAATATTTCACCCTTAATTATAATAGAATTGAGGAAATCCTTCTTGTGGACTTTGTATTAGATGTCTTCCCAAACAAACTTATCTCCATAGGGAAAATAATTCCCAGCTTTTCAATTTTCTTTAGTGTTACTGATGTGTGAAGAGATTATTTTACTGAAAGGCTCAGTGCAATAACATTTGGACCAAACCAGTGAGAAATTAGCTTTTTAAAAGCCTAGCGGTGTTTTTACCTTTCCTTTGTGTCAGATGCTTTTAGTCAAATTAAGTGTTTGACATAGTGAAAAAATAGTGACACCTTTCAAGAACTTGACTTTTATTTATTTATTTTWTWTT